TTCGCTCTTAGTAATTCATAATCTGTGTTTTGAGCTTTGATTGATGCGATCAATAAAGCTAGTTGTAGCGTGTTGGATCAATACATCTGGTAGTTGATACGAAGTCAACGTGGTATCTGCGGGAAACGGTTCGTTGGCAGATGCTTTACTCCTGTCGAATACTCCAATTTACCGTGTCCTTTGTTTCGTTGAGAACGTTGTTTTCCAGCGTTTCCTGTTCCATCGTGTTGACTCATAAAACATGACTCAATCTACTCACGGATACTCTGAGTCGTGGGAGAACTGTAACGCTTTCACTCCCCTCAGTGGGACTGTCGACTCTGAGTGTTTCTTACCGCAATCCTTGGTATCTCCTGACCAAACAGCAGTGCATTCAGCATAGGCCATACCGATGTATGTCCCAGTGTTTGTACCTTGCACTCGTCTTGAATAGTTGCAGTTGATCTCGTCGGGTGGTAGCTACCTCTACAAGATCCCTCTATTCAAGTAGTATTTCCCCACGTTAGCAGAACCAAGGTCGAGGCCGGCGGTGATTCCATCAACCGCTGGAATCTCGTGGTCAACACCGCGCTACGTCGTCGGCTTTTGTCGATCCAGTTGTTCTGTTGTCCAAGGTCGGGCCACAGACCAGAGTCGCGGCGACCTAGAGGACGGAAGGGTTGAGGTGAGTAGATGGGAATGGAGAGCTCTTCATCTTCGAGTTCTCTAGTCTCTTGTTCTACTCGGGTTTGCTGAGTGCTAGTTCGCGTCATGGTCGGCTTGGAATTGGCGCAATTTTCGAAGTGATCTGGAGGTCGACTTCAAAAGAAAAAGAGGAGCGACAACCCAGCGAACTGACGAACTTGCAGGTCAGGATCCAGCTCGAAGTGCCACATCATCCTTGAATGGTATCCAGGATTGCGTAGACTTCACTAGGATTGGTACGGCGAGACTGCAACGTAGGTTGTCTCTGACCTGGTCGTCGTCGTCCAAAGAATGGTTTGTCAGCCATTTGGATTTCGACGTGGAGCTCAGCTCAAGCTTGAGCTTGCGGTCTTGCGGTCAACACCATCATCTTGATGTGACCTGATTCTCTTGTCTGAATTTGCCGAAAAACGGCAAGATCCAGCTCTCATCGTCCGACCATGACGATAGAGGTCAACCATCGGTTTTTCGAACGCAACATCGCATCAAACTCACTCCACTAGCCAATTACATGAGGTAAACAACCTCCACCTAGTCTCGGCTTGGGTGCAAGTGTGACGAACGAGTTGGGCTCATAACCTGCGAACGGAGGCCGATGTGCAGTACGATGTAGACATGGGATGACACAAAAGAATAAGCTAAAAATTAAAAGGGGATTCTACGTCTACCTCGTTCTAGCGAGTCCCGGGAGGTTCACCTCGTGAATGCCAACCACCAGCTGGTTTTGGCTCCTCTGGCAACCCCGACTTGGCGACAGGAAAGGGTACGTTCGAATGCATCCAATAAATGGAGGCTCGATCGATGGAGCCTCGCAGTAGTAGGTGGCCAAGGGAGATGGAAACGACTCGACTCGACTCAAGACAGACTGGACCGCGGCGTCTTGAAATGGCGTGGAGATCCCAGACAGACGAAACTTTACAGTGATTGAAAGATTGAGATTGTGGTCGATGGCAGACAGTCTCAACGAGAACAAACGGCCATAGCATGGGATTCGCAAGAAAGTCGAGCATTTTGATCTCGTCTTCCAGGCTGAACTACGATCGGAATATTGTGAGATTAGACTTAAAACTAGCGTTAAAGCGCCACGTCATAGACGTGCGTATGTCACTCTCCTCCACTGTGAGGCAACAATAGGCGCCGAGCATCAGTAACATTTAGAAAATGAATCAGGGGAACCTCAATAACCCGTACCGGTGGCAACCGGAGGTACTGGATGCTTTGGAAACACGCGCCGAATGTTCAGGCGCTCAAACTGATGAGCACTGAGTTGAATCGTTACGTTGCCGTTGGTATGAACGCGGGAAACACGATAGGGACCGGAAGCCGTAGGCTTCAACTTATCACTGAGACCGAGATACGCACGCTTGTAGACCAGGTCATCGACTGCGTAGTCATAGGAAATGCGTTTAGCATTGGCCCGTAGCAAACGTTTGTCAACCAAGGATTGACGGTGTCGTTGCACGGCCAATATGTCTGCATAAATAGGAATGTCAAGAAACATATCTCGTTTGAAGGCAAGAGCACCAGGAGTGAGATACGCGTTCGTACTCTGCACGGAACAACGATGAGCATGCATCGCTGTCGCCAAGGTTTCGGAAATAACCTTGATCCCATCAGCAACACTCTTGGGATCGCGCGAAACCACAATAGTACGCAATACTTGACCAATTGCCTGATGAGTTCGTTCAATCATCGAGTTACCTTGTGGATTACGAGGGGTCGAGTAGCGATGCACAGCACCATTCTTTTTAACCATCTCAATGAACTCCAGTTTGAACTCAGGACCATTGTCCGTGACCACTTTCTTAGGTCGGGGATACCGAGCAAACCATGTATCTTCGACCACTCGAGCACCTTCTTCCGACGTTCGTCGCATGATAGGCACAATCTCTAACAAGTTTGTGCAAGGATCCACCATAGTCATAGCATTGAAGGTCAATGTCCGTTGTCGTAACTCAATCGTCCACGGACCGATTGTGTCACAATGGACTTCTTGCCAGGGCATCGCCGTAGCATCACGTGGAGCAGATTCTCCATAAGCACGTCGTGCTCGCTTGTTCTTTGCACATGCTTCGCACTGCTCAATTTGTTTTCGGACTTCGTCGCGAATACCTCTGTGGTAGAAGTGTGTCTTGATCGTTTGTTCTAAACGATCCATGCCTTCGACATGTGCCATGGATTTGTGATACAGTAGCGACCCAAGAAGCTGCCAACTTGGGAAGCAACTCTTTGTTAGGACAATCTTGTCCTCGTCATTCTACGAAAGCATATCAGTCCTGTTTCCAAACATCTTTTTGAAAACCGTTCCGGGTTGTCACCACGGTCTGTTGCAAAACTCACTGTCGCTTGGTACTCGGCGAACCGAAAATTGAAAGATTCCTTCCTTCGCCGTCAAATGTAGGATGCTCCAGGAAAGATTCTTCCATACCTTCGTCTGGATGATGCATCAAAATTCAGCCAACCTCTGATTTCCTCCACAATGGAATAGAAGCCATCGGTAGATGTGGAGGGGGATCGGAATCGGCAGTGTCACGATCTTCGCGAGAAGTGGCACCCGGCTGAGGGCGTCGCCAAGCGTTTGGGGCCCGGCTTGTAATGGAAGTTGGGTCCAACTCTTCCAATAGCAATCGCCTCGCATAACACGCTGAGTTTGGAAAGCGGAAAGTTTGTGAGTAAGGTTCTTATGATCAGTAACACATTGAACGAGCTCCGAGTAACATAGACCGAAACTCTTTGAAAATTTCAACGATGGAGAGCAGTTCCTTTTCAATTGTAGTAATAGTTCTTTTGGGCGGAGTTGAGTTTGCGGGAGTAGTAAGCCACAATCCGTCATTTTGTTTGATAGCTCCACCGACTGGTAATCACTAGCGTCCGTATCGATCTCGAAAGGAACGTTGTGATCGGATATGCCAGCAGAGTGTCTGCTGCCGCCACAGCTTTCATGGCTTTGAAAGCTTTTTCTTGTTCGTCGGTCCACTCAAACTTCTTGGTACCAATCAGCTTTGTCAAAGGTGCAAGGTGTGAGACGACGAGGCCACATATCGGGTAATAGGTCACCAAACCAAGGAACGAACGCAGTTGTTTGATATCCGTGGGAGCCTTCATGTCCAGATTGCGCGCACTTTCTTCCCATAGGCTTAACCCGAGGAGTCAACCAATGTCCCAGAAAATCGTTTTCTTGCACGGCCCATTCACATTTCAACGGATTGATTGTGAATCCAGCTTCTTGTAGAATCTTGAGGACTTGATCGAGCTTGTCGAGATGAGAACGCCAATCGGAGCTGAAGATCCCAATGTCATCGATGTAACTTCGATGTCGTCAAGAGCTTTAGTAACTTTTCCATGATTTCTTGACGATATCCGGAGATTGAGAAACGCCATAGGTAGTCGTCTGTACTTGTACAACCCAAACGGGGTAGCAATGGTACACAATTCAGAACGCTGCCCGTTCTTCTTCTTCACGAGTTGCGAAACATGAAGACTCTTTTTCGGATTCGGGGCATGTCGTCCAAATCGTTCCAAGTCGTCTTCAAAACAATCGGTAGAAGCTGCTGTAGCAGAGTATCGTCATCTTCGAGATCTGCTTCGAGGAGGTCAGGACATCGAAGTAGGGGTGTAAAATACGTTAGTTTAACAAACTATGGCCACGGAGTGGCTTTATGACGCGGGCATGGGTGGGGAAGCCCCCACCTAGCTGAGTCGTCATCTACTATTTGCCCAATCAACATGCCTCATCATGGCCCAACGTGGAGCCACACCAAGTAGACAGATGCCTGGGTAGGGGGTGAGCACATTGATAGGGAACCTGCAGCGCAAAACCTGGTACAGGGGCTTACACAGGATTTTGTCGGTATGAAACCATTATCACCATAGGGACGTGAGGACCAGTTAGATTGCCAGCCAAAGAGTGCTCGCCAGTAAGTGTGTCTGGGTGATCAGGTCCCAAGTTGTGGCAAGGGCCTTGGCATGCAAGGCAAGATGCCAGCAGAGCCCGTAGGAGGTGGTACTCCTCAGGCTGGACCAGAGCAGGGTGTACATCCAATGCACAAATTGTTAGATAGAGGCCAACAAGCAGGCAGAAGATGGGGTCAAATGACACACTGGCAGTGTGTGGTTCCAGGAGGGAGCACAGTGGCTGCTGGAGTGTTGGCTGTTCGAGGGGTTGTTGAGTCAAGAGAAGGAGGATAGGGGGCACTGGAGGTGGGCTGGTGCAGGGGCAGGAGGGAGATCTGTTGGTGTTGGAGTGTTGTTGTAGGAGTTGGGATGTAGCATGTTGATGGTGTGTTGTAGTAGAGGCGTGCCTCTGTTCAAGGGTGAGAACAAAGGCAACCTCCCTGATGGGGTAGGGTGTGATTCGTAAGGGTGTGGTCCTCAAGATGGCTGGATGTTCTAGGAGCTGTTGGCTGATTATCTGCGGGATTGGTGTTGTGTAGTCTGCGTAGGATGGTGGATGTGGTTTGGGTTGGGTGAAGTGGGGGAGTGGGGGAGTGTCTGTGAGGACCTTGGTTTTGAGTGAAGTAGTGGGTTGACATGGGGAAGTCATGGAGGGTGGTAGGTGTGTTGAGTGGGATAGTTTGTGTATTCCTGGAGTTATTGACTGGTAGTGTCGTGCTTCAACGCAAGTCATCATTGCGCGGTGCTTGTGAGGTGGGCGGTATGATTGATGTAGAAGGGTGTATTCAAGGGGCAATGCACGGAGGCACTGGTAATCAAGTTTTATATCAAGTTGTTGGGTTGTTTTTGCCACTGGATCAAAGGCTGCGGCCAAGTCTGGTGCAGGAATACCACTACCTGCAGGAAAAGATGGTATCAGAGCCAAAGGCTGTTAGGGTTTCTTTCAGGGGAAACTGGTGAAGTCACGCTATAGCCATTAGAGGCAGTGGTGGGGGTATCAAGAGGTGTTGTTCGTATGATGGGGCCTGTGTTAGATGCACTGTTGTGTCTCAAAGGTGGTATCAATCTGTTGTAGGGACGACAATGCAACAAGAGAGTCAAGCCAAGATGTGGAGAGGGTACTCGATTTCAGGTGTAACTGTGGAAAGTAACTGGAGAGTGACTCAACAATCATGAGAGAAGAGATAGAGTCAGTTATATATTAAATATCTATTTTTTTTTTTGCCACACACGCTGCAGTTCTGTCTGGGAGGCTCAATCCTTTGGAAGCATCACCTCAAGTCAGGGAGTCAGGTGACGGAGCAGGAGGCAGGGGGTGTCATGCAAGTGTTTCACAATTACTAGCCTAAATCTAGAGAGAGGCAACTTTTGTAGTGTTCTTGTGGGGGTAGGTATCTTTGGAGAGGATGCTGGATACATCCCCGGGAGGCGAGCTGTTAAATCTATGCAAATGCAGCCAAGAGCCTGTAGATACAAAGAACTCAAGTTCTCTACAGGAGAGAGCGTCTAGTTTGTTTGTTTTGTTTTATCCCTACTTGGGAGAGGAGTTGTTGTTCCTCTTGGGAAAGGAGTTAGATATCAATGGAGGGGTGGATAACAGTAGGCAGGTGTCGATCAGTCACTCAGTCTGTATAGGGATAGGATCTGGTTGGATCTAGTAGGATACAGTTCCAACAAGGACGTCGAGTCGGGAGAAACCACTAGTGGCCGGTGAGAAAGTAAGAATACAGGTGTAATTCTCTTCTCGGTGGTCACTGCAGGTATCTCGTGAAGTCCTTCTTGATCGTTCGATCCGTACAGAGGAAGAGGTACGGAGAAGAGGTACGGTCGCGGGAAGTCGATTCACGGAGTAGCGAGTCTTGGATCGATTCGATTCAGAGATCGATTCGATTCGCGATTCGATTCGAATCAACGTCACCGGTTGCCTTAGGGTTGAGGTTAACCGAGCCTGTTGTTGTGGAGGAAAAAGATCGATCGTTCGAAAAAGAGGATCGACAATGGGATTTCGATGGCCGTCAGGAGCGTAGCTGAGAAAACAACAAATAGATATGGGAATTGTTTTCTGTGCTGTGCTGGGGAAGACCGGTGACTTCTTCTTGTGTTCAAATTCTTCCAACTTGGCCGTCGGCGGTCGAGAATAGAAGGCCCGCCCGATCTCGTAGGATTTCAATTGGGATGGCTTTCTAGTCTGAACCGGAGAACGCCGCGTTGATAGTCGCTTGGTAGCAGAGGTGCAGGAGATAGGAGGTATCGATCCTGTCAACCGGAGGTTGGATGAGGGCTTGAATGAGGGATAAAGAGAGGAAAAGGGAGTGTGTTTCCTGTGATGACGTTGAGCGGATTCCTATAGTAAAACAGTACTCTTCAACAAGATAACAGAAAACAGGCTTCCGGAGGTCCTTTCGCTTCGTTTCAATGCGTCTAATGGTGCTAATAGGTAGTGTAATGGTATAGGTATGACCGATTGGTTGTGTTTGTTGCTATTAGTGATGTTGTTCTTGTAGTGACAGATCCAGAGGGGAAGCTCCTCGTTTCGATTCGGCTTCCCGTGAAAAAGTTCAAGGAACATCGAAGTAGCAGGAGGAGTCTTCTTGTCAATAGAAGACGTAGGAAAGGGTCTCATGTCAATGCTGACCTCTTCCCATGTCATTTTGTGTCCCTTGAAATCAATCTTCAATCCCATCTCAAGGAGGATGTCGCGTCCAATGATCATGTCATACCGAACATTGCTCGCAGAAAAGACGCGAGCATGAGCGACATCAATGAAGCGGGACTTGTAGAACTCTGGAAAACACAACCGGTCTAAGGTAACAACACGGTTCGAGTTGACGTTGCCAGCCAATGTGGTGGTAGACACCATGTCACCAATACGAGGGACTGTTCCCTTAGGCAACGCCTTGTCACTAATCCAGGTTCCACTAGAACCAGAGTCCATCAGGACTAATAACGGTCTATCAGACGGTTTATTCTGTATACTATGTAGGACGCAAAGGGCCATCGGCACCAAGTCCTTGTCAACATTGATTCCTTCAGCCGCCGCTGCATAATTCTCAAAGACCCGTTTCGAAGGTCAGTAATCACCACCGTATCCATAGGACTCGTCATAGTCATCGTAACCCCCTGTCATGGAATCAAAGTAATGGGGCTCTTCCTGATAATACATCTCTTCTTGTTCTTCAGGAGGCGGCAATGCAGCAACCGCAGGAACCTCTGAGGGTTGTTCTTCGACGTGATACACAGCGTCTTCGCGAACATCACCGTCAGCCACAAAATTATCACGGCGAGGACTGTAACCACGTCCACGTCCACGACCACGAGGTGATGAGGCATAGCCACCACGTCCGAAACGTCCGGCAAAGTTGCGCACCGGAGTAGTGTTGTTGTTGCGTTGCTGTCCGTCTGGTTGTCCACGTTGGTATTCTCGAGGAGGACTACGGTTGTACGTCCAGGTAGGAGCACGACTCCATCCTCCACGTCGGAAACGCTGGGAAGGCGGATAGTAACCAGCTCGAGGTCCATCGTCTTGTCCATAGGTACGACGATAACCAGAAGAGCGTCCACTCCTTCCATGTCCGCGGCCTGAACGACCACGTGAAAACCGCGACCACCACGGCCACGAGAACCTTGTTGGCGAGCGTTGTGATTCTTTTCTTGACGGGCAAAGAAACGAACCATCTGCACTGAGCCAATTACCGTAATGTCATGAGCGGAATCGGCAAACTTGTCTTTCCACGTGGGGAAGCATCATGTTGTAAAACATCATCTTGAGAGCAGGAGCACCAAAAGGGTTCGCATTATTTGCGCCAGGAAACTTCGCCATCAAGGTGTTGATGTACTCCAACCGAGACCACAAGGTCTTGCAATCGAGCTTGAAGGGCTTTGTCGCAGTCTGCAGATATCGAGTCTGATCAGCGAGATCCGTGTCTTCAACGAACTTCGCAATGAACGAAGTAATACAGGCATCGAAATCAGCAACAGCTGCACCAGGACGCGCTGCTCGAATCACGTTCCACTTGTCTCGAGCAGAGCCTTGAAGACATTTGACAAAGAAGTTAGCCCTCAATGTACCCGTGTCCAAATTCAAGGCTGAGTTGCCGGTCACTTGATCGAACTCCTTGATGACCCGAAGGACGTGTTCCGGTTCTTGTTCGTCTGCCAGTACAATCATGTCATGCTTACGCTTGACGTTGTTACCAGCATGTTGCCAAGAACGGAACAACTCGGTAGTAGCGACCTCGCCAGCATTATACTCAGAGACCAAGGGAATGACCGGATTCTTGCCCGACTGACCAAGCGTCGTCATGGTGAGATAATAAACCTAAAAGTAAATAACAAACAACAATACTTGCGGCTTTATGGTTAGTAAGAGTCGCAAGTAATGACAATGAAAGAAAAAGGAGTAACTTCGTTTTGAGTTACACCCTTGAGTTACCGTTGTTAATAGAAATCGAGTGAATTTTCGAAATTGTTTGACAATGGCCAAACGCCTAGTATACGGCTGCGTAGGATGTACGCAGGAAGTTTCTTTTGCTTGATGTGCAAATTCCAACCGAACTTGCTTCTGAATTCAGAGTGAACTACGATCGGAATATTGTGAGATTAGACTTAAAACTAGCGTTAAAGCGCCACGTCATAGACGTGCGTATGTCAACACCTGCAGTAACAGACCCAGAATGCAGCCCGACCCTCATTTGAAGTCCGAGGGTATCCTCCCCCAGCTTGTCAGCCAAAGATGCCAGCACCCCATGAAGTCTTGCCATGCAGGATCGAGAGAATTTGGTCATGATCAACGCATGGTCGGGTTGAGGTTCTGGAAGACCTGTTACGTACCGCCACTGCCAGAGGCGAGTATAAGAAAGCCAGTGAGTGAGTGAACCAAAGAATGCATGGTGATCCAATCGAATGCGCATGCTGCTGGGTGGAATTGACTTACCATAACAATCTCCGATGGTTTCCACTGAGGGTGATGGTGGAAGAGAATTGATTCTAGTTAGAGATACGCCGCAGCAAAACAATCGACCGTGCTCTTTCGAAACAACTCTTCCGTACCTTTGAAGACATTGTACCTGGCAGCGATTGAATCAAACTGCCCATAGAGAGCCTCGAGAAGTTCAAATACTTCCACAGGTGTTCGAGTGGAACTCCATTTGGTGAAACCTGAAAGGGGTGGGGTCACATAGATGGGTTAATTCTTAAAATAAATAATGCATACACAAGGGCCGTTTATAGTACAACCATAGACCTGGGACTCACCTGCCAAGTCACAAAAGAAGATGGTGGTTTCGGGATAGAGATTGGCAATGGCTTGTTTGGCGGTGATACCTTCGGAGGCACCACCCAGAACGGCACCAGGATCAGGGGTGGTAGCTGCGAGCCATCCCTTTTCCTTTTGCTTCGCCTTGGCTTTTGCTTCTTCTTCTTTATAAAGTTGATTCCGAACTTCTTCAGGGAAGAGGGTGGACACTAACTTGCCTGACTGAAGAGCTGACTTCAGTACGGCTTTCTGTCGTCTCTCCACGAAAAAGTCAAAGGCAAGGAACACCATGCAGGTGAATAGAAAGACAGCTGCCAGAGTCAGGGTGTAGAGAAGAGGCTCGTTAGTGTAGTAGCTATCCTCAAATTCTTGAGTGGGATAGACTCGAACACGGTAGTGACAATCTCCAACAGTGACACCTGGGACCGCCTTGCCATATTCCTCCTCATTGTCATCTTCATTTTGCTCGCCCCACATTGAATCCAATGTCATGGTCAATACTACATCATCATATTTGGGGTCATGAAGATCTCCACGGCCCAACACCACGGCCCTTTCTCCTTCAATCCCAAAAGTATACGTCTGGTTGCACTTGTTTTCGAGAACCAGGAAAAGTCCTGGTGTTCCACTTTGTAGAATGTTTGCAAAGTAACCATCCCAAGTGCTCCCACCTCGGACCAAGGCTACCACATTCCTCTCCTCCTCACTGGAAGTTGTGTAGGAATCATAGACGGGATAGCTCCATTGGAAGAATGGTTCACCAGCATATCCGGGGAGCGCTTCTCTTGCCAATAGAGCAACGGGATGCTTGGTATCTGGTTCATCCATAAAGTCTTCTGAAAATGAAAAAGGCATGGTGGTTTTATTGAGGGCAGCATCAATCATTGGTCGTCCAATCTCTGGGTTTCCATAGCTATTGATATTGATTAACGGAGGAAAGGCCATGGGAGGATAGCTCATCCATGCTGGAAAGTAAGGTCCTTCCCCCATGTCTGGCCCAGGGACGCCATCCTTAATGGCAAGGATCACACGAGGAATAAATATTCCCTTCACCTCTTCCACAGGAATGCCTCGTTGTCGGGCCAGTTCTTCTGCCAACCATCCCTTGTGTTCTTGAACATAGGCTTCCCATGCCGTCTTTTGGTCAGTTTCCACTTTAATGGCAAGCGAAACACCAACAAAATTTGCCAATTTGGCAACATGGCCGGCCCTTACAACATATCCAGGAGGTGTGTAGAAGGGCCAGGAACCATTGGCAGCGTATGACAAGTCCATGGCGAATCCCTCAACGATTCCAACCCGATTCTTGACATAAAACTCCACCCCGGACATGAGTTTGCTGCTATATTCCTGGAAGCCTTGTTTAAAATCTTCTTCCTGGGCTCCTTGGGCATTCTTGTACGCCAAGACACAAACAGTGACTGCCACTCCAAACAGGAGCAGCGTGGTAAAGATTCGCAGAGCCCATACAACCTTGTCTTCATTCTTGGCAATGGAGAGCTTCTCGCCACCACCTGCTTCACCCGGGGAGTCCTCCCCTGATGCCATGGATTCCGATCCCTCCTCAGCCGCCATGGGAAACGTCTTTTCCGGAATGTCCTTCATTGCTTTGTCGAGCTGCTGTGAAGTGTGCTATCTGGCTAATAGCAGCGTGTTGATTGTGAGTGCCTCTGCTTGTAATGGATTGTAGAGAAGATTGAGAACCCACCCTGGAATGGGGAGATTGAAGAGGGAATTGAGGCAGCTGCACGTCGTCTTCTTCAAGCCTTCAAGTGCCGTACCGATGACTTGTTTGGAGCAACACAGGGAACCACGATAGCCTAGCTAGATAAAAAAAGGTGTAGGTGACAAATCTACCCCAGTCATAAGATTTCTAGCAGCACCACTTACTGAAAAACATTTCACATTTTTTAGCTCATTTTATTGTTAGATCTAGCAGGTTTCACTGTACATCGTAGTTACGCTCGGTTTTTTGCAGTTTTTGTGATACGATCTGTACTAGTAAGATACTGAAGAGTATGGCTTATCAAATGCCAACAGCATAAGATACATACTCTGAGTAGTTAGTCAAAACGCGGAATTGAAACATGATCTGAAAAACGAAATTTTCTGCCTCCTGCGGGAACACCCCTGGTATCGGTACCTGGTACCGGTACCACCACAGAACAAAGAAGCGTTGGACAAGACATGCATGCACCCAACGCTAAAAGGTCAAAGCCAGAATGATGAATCGAATCATATGACTTGAGATGCAATTGGAACGCTTGAATCAAGTGGCTCATTTTCAGGGCGGAATTGAATCTTCAATCTGAAGACAAAGCAAAGCTTTGATTCGATTCCAACTGAGCACTAACTTTAGAAAACAATATGGGTACATTCAAAGCATCGAGAAACCATATCTTAAAACAAAGGTTAAAGTGTATCCATTGGAAGCTCGACTACAGTTTTGGTGACAGTTGTTGGAGTCCAGTCATTGCTTGTGAGGGCAATGGGGCAATTGGACCCATTCTGAAGTGTATTTAACCCTCAGTTTGCTCCAGTACTCTACTGTACATGTAGGGTAGCGTGATTTGTCCCTCACAAATTTTCACTTAGGCTAAGTGATTGAATTTTCACTTAGGCTAAGTGATTCAATTTGATTTACTTAGGCTAAGTGGGCCACTTAGCCTAAGTGATTCAGTCAGTCTTATTTGATTTAGTCAGTCACATTTGATCCACTTAGCCTAAGTGAATTACTTAGGCTAAGTGATTCACTTAGCCTAAGTGATGCTCTCCGTGGCAGCTTCTCTCAGCTCATAATCTGTCAGATTTCATTTCTTCAAAGGCACTGGGAAAACTCTGCCTCTGAGACATGTCAATATCACTGACATGGTAGTGAAATCGAACTTAAATCCTAAGTCAGAGAGAATGTCTTGTTTACTAGTTAGTGAGATATCTTCATCACTTTGGTATGAGAAATCGGAATATGGTTCCGTTGAGTCATCATCCTGGCCTAATCCTCAGATAGAGATTTCGCCATCCAAGTGATTGAAATCGATAGAGGAGTTGTCCTCGTTATCAGAGTCTTCTGATTTGCGCTTGGCAACATGGTTGCGAAGTTTGCAGGTGGTTGCACGAGTATCGTCGATCTCGGTGTCTTCGTCATTGTCGACGAGAGGAAGAATGGGTTTGTCACGCAACTGTTTCTCGAAGTTGGTGAACGCATGCTTTCCTTGAGCAATCTTCATGGTGAAGGAATAGGTTGAGGGTAGCTGAAAGCTATTGTGTTTGTTAACAAAATGCACTACGCTAAAAGCTAGTGTAAAGATCTTTCGAGTGTTTTGTGTTTGAGAGAATGAAAGTTATGAGAGAGATTAGAAAGCTATGAAAACTAATCAACGAGAGAGATCACCATCAAAGGATCGTAGATCTGGTCTCCCGCGGGAGACTATAAAGTGTGATAGCGTAGGTTGCGGTAGTAATCCTACGTATCTCCACGATCCTAAAACGGAACGCGTGGAAGATTCGTCTAGCATGGATCTAGTAGCGTGGAAGTACTCCACGCTGGCTAAATATCTAGAGCGATGTTTCATCATCAACCTAGTATGACTAGAGCGGTCATTGAGAACCCTGTCTCAAATGACTATTCACGAGAGACTCAGTCATGAGTCGAACTCAAACCCTATCTAGGATCGAGTCGCGAATAAGGCTAAGAGCCGTGTATTGCACAAGGGTGGAAGCCAGAATAATAGTATGAGTGGTGTCATCCTCCAGGGAAGTTGCAACCTGAATCTGAATCTCTGTTGTAACCTAATTAAACTCTTTCTTGTGAAGCTCTTTGAGCAGTTCACAGGAAGCTGAAAGTGGGGGCATGATAGGTGATAGTTGTGTCTCCTTGTGGCTGTGTGTGTGCTTGCTGCAGGGACTTGTTGTGTTGTGCTGTTGAGGAGACTTGAGACTTGTGCTGTTGAGGAGTTGCCTCGGAGAGCATCACTTAGCCTAAGTGTTTCGCTTAGCCTAAGTGAGTTGCTTTGTATGGCTTAGCCTAAGTGTTTCGCTTAGCCTAATTGTTTCGCTTAGCCTAAGTGAGTTGCTTAGTATGGCTTAGCCTAAGTGTATTGCTTAGCCTAAGTGTATTGCTTAGGCTAAGTGTTTTACTTAGCCTAAGTGGATTTTCGAGCACTTAGCCTAAGTGAAAATTTGTGAGGGACAAATCACGCTACCCGTTGTACTGTACTCCGTCCAGACTGATTCGAGACATAATGACCTCAGAGAGTTTCATCAACAGAATGGCATCTGCTGGTTCATCGTCTCTATGACACATGTAAATTGTAAAAGACTCCATCAGAAGCCAGTCGAGCTGTGAACTACAGCATGTCCGAAACTCTTTTTCTTCGAGGTCACGCGTCCTCCTGTGACACCGTCGAGGTGACACTGGAGGGAAAAATTGAAGCCAACGGCCAATTTGAAATTTCAACCATGCTATGCTACGAGCATGTTTCCTCCATCATTTTTGATAATCTCTGTTTGTTGTGGAAGCTAAGGTAAAGGCCACGATGAGAGTTTTCTTGCTCCAAGCCCTGGCCCTGTTGCCGCTGGCCCTGGGTTTCACGACGTCTCCCGGATCTGCGTATATGAAGACGCCTTCCAGGGCGGCGAGTGAAGACGGAAGAAGTAGAGCAGGAGGCGTCACTTTCACCAACCCGAAAAGTACTCTGGGGACGATTCTCTTTCTGAATCCTTTCCTATTTGGTCCTGAGCTGATTGTACCTGCCATAATGATCTTAGGAGGGACTGTGGCAACAATCTTGATCGACAAGGACGAAGACGTGGCAGTGAAATACATTGCTCCCCCAGAGCCAGCACCTGTCGAGGAGGAACCTCCTGCACCAGCACCAGTGCCTGCACCAGCACCAGCACCACCTGTTACCGCCACAACCCCCGATCCTACTCCTCTTCCAGACTCGATCGCTTACAAGGAGGAGGATGCCGACGTCCAATTTGATCAATCCGTGGCTCGTACTGGACGTGCATCTACTGGAATTGGTGCTGATGTAGCTGCCTTTGCTGAGAAAGAAATGACAGCTGGAGACAGCATTGCGGAATTGCGTCGGGAAGTTGCCAAGACATTGGATGACACCTCCAAAGTTCCCACCACTCAATTGCTGCAACGATCTCCACCACCCGAGGTAAAGGAAGAATCCAAAGTTGACTTCGCTAGTACCACCACCACCACCAAGAAGAGAAGCTTGCCGAGAAAAGTCTGGAGAGTCGTTAAAAAGATTGTGGCACCATGGCGGCCATGGAAGAATATCAGCTAGAGACGGACAGACCACAACCTGCTATCATTGATCTTTCTCCGACACAACCAAGTAATTGGTTCTCGGTTTCTTCGTAGTACCGGAGATGTCCCTTTCCTCCTCCTCCTGATGGTAGCAGCAAGTTTGATGAAACCCATTTAAATCGATGCAAGAGCAATGCTACCTTTCTTCTGACTGTTGCTGGACCGAACCTACTAGATCTAACTCGAAAATATGTATAGGCGCAGCACGCTGAAGATACGAACAAAACCAATACGGTAGAAACCATAACGCTTACTTAGCTGTCACAATACTGATGTATGTTTCTTCCGCCTAAACTTGTAAATGTGGAATGACGTTGAAGCGTCTTGGCAGATAGAAAGGGAAGACAAGACATCCCATTAGGATATGTACGTACATGTATGTTGTGGAAGCGAATAATGGCGAGGTGACGAGCTCAGTCCACTCACTGTTTTCTTCAGGAGAGGTAAGGAGTACTCGCAGTGGTGTAGGTGGAAAGAAGGCCAGGCCAGCGATATCAGTGGGAAGCAGTCACTTGAGCGTCCTGCTGGCAGCTACAAAAGGTAACGAAATGGCCAGATCCCAGCTTCCATGAACAAGTCTCGAGCAGTCTCTCAAAGTGTTGCTCGCAAGGGTGAACAATTGCCTGGAGATCGTGGAGCGTGGAATATCTTCCATACAGCTCCTGACGTCATTGAACAAACATCCGGTATCTTTCGTTCATGGTCGGCATTTAGGTTTGGATCCAAACCGTTCCTTCGTCGCCATCAATATCCTCCACCGAGCTAGCAAGGTGTCAAGTCGATCCCAGGGAGGATCTTCTTTTCCATTTTTTCTTTTGATACTAAAGTTATCTGAACGAACCATGAAGCTTTCTCTTGCCCTTACCTCCTTGTTCGTCGGCTCGGCAGCTGCCTGGTCATCCTTGACCATGAAGGCCGGTAAGATACGAACAACCCCACGTTGTTCTTGTGTGATGATGATGTGGCCATGGCAAGCAGATTGTTTGATCTGGGGAATCTCCCTGTGCTTCTTCAAAGATTTTGTTTGTGTTTTTCCTTGCCACTGAATTGCCTAATACCTCCTGCTAACTCAACTTGCATGATTCTGTTCTGTCCTGTATCTCGTAGAGGGAGTCAGCAGCCGCCGTAATATCTTCAAGGGAATCGGAGCTGCTGTGGTTGCTGGTGTCGTTAACCCTGGAAACTCCAACGCATACTCAGTGCCTGATCTTCCATACCCCTTTGAAGCCTTGGAGCCACACATTGACACCCCTACCATGAAAATCCACCACGACAAGCACCATGCCACCTACGTAGCCAACATCAACAAGGCCACCGAAGGTCAAGAGGAAAAGCCAATTTTGGATTTGATGGAGAATGCACTCGAGGCCGGCCCTGTGCGAAACAGTGGTGGTGGACACTACAACCACGCATTTTTCTGGGAAGAAATGGCCCCACCTGCCGAAGCTGCCAAGACCAAGCCTTCAGCTCAATTGGAAGAGTTGATCAATAAGTCCTTCGGTTCCATGGATGAGATGAAGGCTAAATTCGAGGCCCAGGCAGCTCCTGGTGCCGTGTTTGGATCCGGATGGGTCTGGGTCTGTGTCAACAAGAAAGGAGACGAGCTCAAGCTGGTAGGAACCCCCAACCAAGACAACCCACTCATGAAGGGAGTTACCGATGAAATCATGTTCCCCATCTTGGGTCTTGATGTCTGGGAGCATGCATACTACCTAAAGTACCAGAACCGTCGACCAGAGTGAGTATCTCAAACCTTTGTACAAGTTGGTTGTAGAGTGTGCGCTTGTGTCTCACTTACGTCTGCTTTGTTGTCTTTTAGATATGTCTCCAACTGGTGGAACGTTGTCAACTGGGACAAGGTTTCTGAGAACTGCGCCTACGTTGTCGAGAATCACGCAGGAGTAAACGTTCAAGGTTAATTTAGTTGGTCTTCTTCGCTTCATAGAGCACTGCATCTCCGCAAGGTACCTTGCCTATCCAGACTCGCTCGCGGTTGAATGAAACCGACTTTTATTACTTCTTTAGAATCAACCCGTGCATCAGCAAATTGTAAGAACAGCTTGCCTATCACGTTGGATACGGGAAGCTACCAGGAAATTAATAAGGAACAGCATTATGAAAACATCACCCGTTTGTATGGTACCGTAGCTCAGCATGCCATCCGAATATCTCGTTCTCGTCTCCGGACGAGTAGATATCTTAGCCATTCCAATCTGATATGTCAAAGGTGAGCTATCATAGTTGAGATAGGCATCTGCTTGATGTTCCAACTAGCTACTAGACTTGTCTACATGTACATGTACTGGTTTGTGGTTGAGTATTCCAGTTCGTTTGTGCCAAAAAACAAAACCAAGAGCTGCACCAACTAATAAAAACGAAAACCAAGAGCTGCACCAACTGCTAGTTAGAATGCACTGCTGCATGATTGGATATCATCTGTGGTAGCCAGTTAGTTGCTCATGCGTCAGGAATATTTGGGGAATGATACAACCGCAAAATAAATCCTCTTTGCAATACGGTACCATCATCATGACTTTTTCTTGCTTTCATTTTCTTTCCGTGCTTCTGCCAACTCTCGTTTCAACTTTTCCAAAAGCAGCAGATTATTAGATTGCTGTGACGCCTGGAAGGCCATGAACCACAGACAAACCGTACAAATGGTATGAAAGATAATAACAACGGGAAATCCCCGCACTGCCTTGGCCATGACCTCATCTTCTTGTGCATGTCTTGTCCACAATCCATCCGCGCCCGCCACGGCGTCGATGCAGGATTTGGTGGCATTGGCTTTGCTTCTATGAAAATAAAAGTTTAGGACGGGTGGTACCAATCCCGTACTAAACATGTAGTAGTAATTGGTGAAAAAGGAATCGGTGGGTTGTTGTCTGCCGTTGACCACTACCACCGTTGCCTCGTTGTATAATTGATTGAGAAAGAGCGTGCAGAGGATTCCCATGACGAAACCCAGAAATTCGCAAAGAGTATCGTTGAGGACATAATACATGGCTCGATATCCCGAAATTCTCAAATTGTCGTTATCCAGAGGAGTCAGAGACTTGTTGTAGGACTATTACACAAACAACAGAAGAAGGAGAAAAATGAGGGGTATCCAAAAATGAGGGGTATCCAAATAGAATAATAACAATGGAATCTTCTTCCTCCTTCCAGAATAGATTTCTCACCTTGACATCGTACAGGCAATACGTCATGGGTCCCTGCCATTGATGAATCGTGATGAGTATCACCATGTAGGACATTCGAAGCAAGTGGAGTTTCCATTTCCCGTGCAACTCAGCGACGGTGGCTAGACTCTGTAGGACCTTGCCCTTTGCTAACTCCAGCTGTTCTTCCGCTGAATTAGTCGTCTCGGTAGGTGCCCCCTTTTCGTTTTTACTTCTTCGTTGCTTGGCCGCCGCTGTCATGATGATCTGTAGTAGGTAAGTGGCTTGTTGGTTTGTTGGCTTGTTGGATTGGAAAGTCTTGTGTTGTGTTGTTATGATCGAGATCTTTTGAGTGGTTGGAAATGCCGTTGCTTGGCCAAAAAAGAAGGAGCTGTCACTCCATCTTTGGCTGGGCGCTGCACGCTCGGTCTGTGACTGACGGACTCGCTCCCGCACCGTATTCGTTCCCCTCCAAACAACAAACCAAAAACAACAAACCCAAGGCAAGATGGTGGAAACCGTGTCGACATCCGATAACGCTGCTCTCGTCGTAGAACCGACAATGGACTCTATACTAAAGCAGATGGGCTTGACTCACCCGGCTGATCATGCCTTGTTGATGAAGCTGTTGCCTTGGATCCAACAACAGAGACCCAAATTCATGTACACGAGCATCCTCTCGTTGGCGGTCCTTCTTCAGAGGATGGCGCGCGCATTTGCGTGTCGCAGTACAAATCCTACGACCGGGACGAATAATAAACCGGCTGTGGCCAAAACAAACAACAACAGCGCTAACACTGCAAAATCCACAACAACCACAACACCTTCTGCCTCTCATCATACTAAGAACGCCACCAACAGTAATGGAGCCACACCCAAGACAGTAGTACCTGCAGCAGCAACAAAACCAGCACCTGCAGTTGGTACCAGAAGACCTTCTCAGCAACAACAACCCTCAACACAGCCGGGAGCATCGAGTAATAGTAGCCGACCCAAACCTCGAAGAAAATCATTTCGATCTCTCAAAAAGTTGGATCTGAGCCCCAACGTGGTCTCATCGTTGAAAGGTTTCGTGGCAGATTTGGCACGGACACTTCCCTTGATCCAGGATCATGCTGCCAAGTCACGTCGCAAAGCAGAATCCAGTAGAAGTCAGTTAAAGGCAGTGGATATCATTGATGTTTGTCTGGAATTGATGGAAGGGGAAGTTGTGGGATACAAGGCACCACCTCCGCCTCCACCACCACCTCCTTCTGCCGATGGATCTCCTGCAGCTAATACTAATGCTAATTCTCCCGCGAGAACGGCTCCTCCCAATGCCGCTATGGAACTCTTTCGCTTGATTTTGGATGATGGAACTTCCCACAAGGAACCCAATGCCGAACCAGCATCCACCATGGACCAACACAAATTCAAAACATTCTGTGTCAAAACTCTAGAGAGTGCGCAATCCAGGACCATTGAAGTGGTCGAATCCTACTATGATTTCAAGCTGTTATGGAATGTGGCAAGCGAACAAAACTCGGTGCGATTTGTACCCACCACTGAATCTAGGATGAAACAACAAGAAATGACCTGGAAGTTGGCCTATTACATCATTTGGAAACGACAGGAAGAACAACCACAGTTGTGTTCCAGAAGGGAACGAATCATGGCCGTGGCATCCAGTATGCTCGTCCTCAGTGTGCTGCCCTTGGCGTATCGACCTGAAAATAACGCCACAACAAACAACAATAATAACAATAAACGTCCTTTGGAGGAAACAACAACAACAACAAATGGGACAACACCCGCCAAAATGCAAAAGACGAGCTCCGAGGGAGGTGTCCATGCCGGTGGTGCTACACCACCAACCCCCGACAAGGAATCCCATGACCGATGGAAAAAACGACAAGATACACAACAAATCATTGTAGATGCCGCAGGGCAAGCAAGCTCATTCTTGTGGTGGGCAGGACAATCCACAACAAGTGGAGGCGGGCCGGGATTTGCAGTTACTGCTGCACCAGGAAATACGGAAATAAAACCAAAGGAATTGGAACTGGAAATATTCAGGGTGGTGAAAGATCTTGCCGCGTTTGCCAATGTGTCGGCCACGGTAAGTTAGTTGTGAAAAACTGTTTTAGAAAGCAAGCAATACCTTGTCTTGTGTTGACTTTTTTGGAAAACTTACTCAACGACACTGTTCTCGAAAGGCTTCATCAACAAACAATTGGTTGAATCTTCTCAAATCTGCTATTGGGACGCAAACGACAACACCAACGGGAGGAGCAACCACGCGCGAGGCCGCTGAAGAGGGTCTCAAAAAGCTTGTCGTCTTGGCATTCGCAGAGATGCAACGTGACGAAGAAACGCGTCGGGGGACACGAGTGGAGGCTGTCTCGTACATTGAGGAATTCACAATGATGGACCAAGAGAGCATTGTTCGTTTTGTCAACAATTTGTGCAAGGTCACTGGAGCGCGGCAAAAGGAAAAGAATGAGTTGATTGCATGTATTCCAATGACAGTGCTCCCGCCTGAAATGTCAGATAGCAAAGCAGAAATCAGAAGAAAGTCTGTAGCTGGCAGCACCATGACAGAGTACCAAGCAAAGCCATCAAACCCACGAACGCTCGTGATGGAGGAATCGCACAGCACTTTTGTATCCCACAACCGAGCAGTGGATCCTCCTGTAGTGACTGAACCCATGGAATTGAATGAATGGACGATTGCGCTCCTGGCATCTCTCGCGCAAATTCAACCCAGTGAAAACTTGAGATCCATCCTGAACCAAGCTTGTGTTGGAGGTGCCAACGGCGAAGATCCTTCGTCCAGATGGGCCAGTGTCATCATTCCATTACTCACGAGATTCTTGAGTCGCATGCAGCAAACGGTTGCCGGGGGAGCACCGGGACCTCTACCCGTGACAGTGACTCCTGATGGTGCTTTGAATACTTCCGAGCGAACGCAAGATACACAATTGTGGGCTTCCGTGATACAGCTGTATTACTTTGCACTCGAGGCAATCTTCACCGCAGAGAGAAAGGCTATCAATGCCACGGTTGTGCTGAGTGCGCCCTTTCACGAAGCCGTGTTGGCTTGTTCGTATCTCTGCGCAGTTCGGGCGGTGTCCATCACGGGGAAAATGAAACTGCTGAGACTGGAGAATCATCAAATCTACACCATCTTACCAATAACGGGGAGCACTCCATACTCGTATCTGAAGGTCACCGAATCCTTCTTGAGGGGCATGACTGTCGATGACTCTATGGACGGTACATCACAAAAGCCCGTGAACGGCCTCGGATCATTGCCACGAATCCTTCAGATGGAAGTTAAGAATTCTGAAGGCTATGTAATCGAGTCGTTGCTGTGGATACGAGACAATCGGCGGCCGATGGCAGAAGGCTGCATTGTGAACACGATTGCGGAGCTCAAGCAGGCGAATTGCTGGCCACCGGACTGTTTGAGGCCATCGCTCCCAGAGGAAAGCGAAGAGGCTGCTACGATGGGAAGCGTGCAAGAAAAGCCAAATCAACCCGAGTACGCGTTCGTGACCTTTGTATCGAGGAAATTGCTGAAAATTGCATTTTATCGGATACAGACTCTTTGCAAGGGTTTGTCGATTCCGACCGAGTATCCAGTAGCTTCGCAGGTGTGGCTTGCTTTTCGATTCCTTCTGCGGCACCAGGTGGAGCTCCTGTATGGGCGGCATATCGACCAGTGGATTCTTTGCACAATCTACGGCGTTTGTAGGGTCATGAAGTATGAACCCGCCGTCACCTTTGCGCGTATTATCGATGTGTACGTGACGTTGAGAACCAGCGAACTCGGAGAAGAGACATGTCAGGCAATCGTAAGACATGTCAAGATCTTGGATGCCGCTGGCGAAGAAAACGGGGCAGATCCAACATACGGATCAACCAAAATGGGGGATATCATACGCTTGTACAATCTTGTATTCGTCCCTATCATGGTCAGTTACTTGTTAAAAAGTAAGGCCTTGAAGAAAGATGCATTGGCATTGAAAGAAATGATGGCGACTTCAGCGCCTTTGGATACCAATGGCCAGGTTCCTGCGGCTGCACCAGCTGCCGTCAAAGAGGGCAACGTGACAGTGCAATTGACTGTGGGGAGTGCCCCAGGAAACGTGAAGGTGACCAAGGACAAGCAGAAAGGCGCTGAACAGCCCAGCCAGCCACAACAGCAAAACGTTCCTGGAGTCAGGAGATCGTCCGATCTCAACAGAACTTTTCTCCAATTTGGAAAACCCACCAAGGTAAGTTTTTGCGCGTCCAGGAGGCTGATAAAAACTCCGCACAGACCGGGTAGCAAAACTAAAGCTACGTTGTTGCGATGTCCCAAAGAATATAACACTTGCCAATGAAATGGTTGCCCGGGCAGCCGGGCCTTAGTTCAAGGGAAACGCGTATTCGCTTCGTGGAAGATTTGGGCATGTCGGCGTCACCGGGGCAAAGTTGCAGCCAAGCAGTGGAGCGGGGAAGGGAACGGGCAGGGCATTTCTACTACCACGAAAGTTTTGATAAGGGAACAAATAGTCAAGCAACATCGGTACCACCTCCGTTCAGTACGCGTCTGTAATGATTCTAGCTAGAAAGCTGGAAACCTCTAGACTTGTCGATTCACCGTGATTCATCAACAAAGACATGAATTGGATTGATTCGTAACTTAGCTTGCATTTGACTAGTAGCTAATATAACACTGCAGGCGTCGTCCGAAGTCTGCATGCCAGCGAGTTGTTTTCAACAAATACTAGTAGGCTGGCGACTGACCATGGGTTGTTCATGGCTACGATAATATTCGATGTGGATACAGCACAGGTGACTCGGTCCGCCGCTTGCATCTCCATCGAAAAATTCAATACTTGTTGTGCCTTATCCACAAGCCCCGAGTACCGAAGTCCAGAGCATGTCGCCGCACCCCAAAAACGAATCTGTAGCCTCTTCATCTTCGTGCTTGACTGCTTCGGATGAACTCGCTTGGCTGCTTGCATTGACTTTGCCGGATGGTGTTCCTGGTCTGCTGGCATTGTCGCCCTCGTCGGTCGCAGTGCTGACATCGGTGGATGTCCGTAATCGGTTCATCTTGGGACTGTTGTTGTTACTACTGAGCAACTGGGTCATGACCCGATCTTCTTCGTCCTGCGACAAAACGGGTTCAAAGGACGGCAGTCTCGGCCGCAACGGGCCCCCTGTCCGCACAAACGACTTGCGCATAGAGCTTCTTTCCGTGTGATCAGCTTCGTGGTTGTGGCTATTGATCTCCGGAATGAACTCGTCGTCCGACTCTTCACGCGAGGAGCTAGAAAGTAACGTAGAGCATAGCGATGGGAGTTTGATGGGCCAAAGCGACCTTGTCTCGTCGGATGAGGGACTTGACGCCACTGCCGCAATTTTGTCAACTGCGTCGTTGGTGGATGTCTCCTCTACGTAAGCGACTGGTATGGGCTGTTCGTCGGGAGTAGTAGCTTCCTCAGTATCCTTCGGACTACTAAACTCATCGTTATCCGCTTCATCAGCTTCCGTCCCCGTTTGTCCCAATTTGACGAGCTCCAACTCGTAAGGATGTTCTCCCAATTTGTAGGGACTGGATCCTCCAAATTCTTGCGCCAATTGATCGTTATCAATGTACTCTTCTAGAAACTTTTGAGAGTCCCTAGACCCCAGTACTTCAATGACGATTGTTTTGGGTAACACTGGTTTGATAATGCTGAAGACGTGTGCCATCCAAAAGGGTGCATTGATCATGAATATCTTCTTGACGTGGAGTGGATAATGGTCGTCATTGACTTTTGAAATCATGGTCAAGTAGTGAATTACGTCGGTGCTCAAAAACTCGGACACCTTTGCTCCGCTGAGGTCAAGCACTCCCATCATGCCCCAATCGGTGTTGGTTGTTGTAGTATCTGCACGATCCGCCATGATCCTGGGATGCAACACATTGGCGACGTACTCCAACACAAAGATATCATGATGCATAATATCTTCATTGGTGATATGCGAATGGAACATAGTTTTCAGATCCATTCGTCCAGGATGCTCGTACATGACAGCCCAACCATCCTTGCTATACCCGTGACAAACGTGTGGATACGCCTTCTTAATGTCGTTGAAGCAAGGATCTGGTTTGGTATGAATCCTGTGGACATTGCGTTCCTCTCTCCACTGTTGATGTGTCTCCCATTGCTTCTGAGCCCGTTGTTTGTTGTCATGACAAAAGTCCAGAAAGTTGTTGGGTAGCTTCGTCGAGGTCTCTCCAGCAGGTACATGGGCGGGAGTCTTATCAGCGTACATGATTCGTCCTCCAATGTATTTTGCAATCTGCTTGGTCTGTTCTTCCTCTGAGAACGCAATGCTGCGCTGAATGGATGTTGAGAAGTCCACGTTGGTATCTTGTGTGGACCGTTGGTTGTCCTCTTTCTGGTTGTCTTCTTCTTGCCGTTGTTGCCTCTGATGGGTGACTGTGACCCCACGATCATTAACAGTGATGCTGCTATTATATGCCTCATCGCTCTCATTGCAAGTCCCAATATCCTCGTGCTGCTGTCCTTGGGAACAGTCTTGGCGACTGGAGCTCGCAAACTCTTCTTCTCGCTTCTTTGGCTCGATCTTCGTGACGGTAGATTCTTTGGCCATTGTGGTCAGAAAGGGTATCATAATGGAGAATGCCATGGCAGAGACACTCCAGGTATCGTGGCTATACCCTCCCACAAAGTACCACCATGTAACTCCCACGGCGACTACTAGCATCGATAGAGAACACAGCAGCAGCAGATCCTCATGTTGATGAGCACATTGTGGGTTCGACGAAACGTCTCTTTTCAGGCGCGTCATGGTGAAGCTATGAGAAACGGGTCTTCTTTTGTCTTGTTGTCTTTGTCTTGTTGTTCTTGTTCTTGTTGTTGTGAGCCAATAGACAGACCAGCAACGTTAACAAAGCCCATCAACCTCTTCACTTGAAAAGCTCAAGCCAACGCTGACACTGCCTGTTCGCGAAAAAATGTGACAGAAGATGCGACAAGAAGTCTTGGAACCGATCAGAGTGGTTCCCTTCCTCTCCGTTGCTGTCACGTTTAGCGGGAAAATCGCAGAAAAATATTTACCTTTTTATTAAGATATTATATTTTTGTCGATGTTGCACGGACACACACAACTCTTTGAGCCATTCAGCCAGCATTGAGTTGGAGTTGTATGTTGACCATTTGGAAATCCCAAATTTATTTATTAAGAAAGGCTTCTTGACCATTATTAGGATATACCGGTAGTATGAGGCACTGTCAACCAAGCTAGCTGGCTATTTCATAGTGTCGAAGTGGACTCTGAAGTCCAATCTCTAGGAGAGATGAAGACTGAGTTGGCAAGGCAAGCATTTTGTGCCAAGGGCTGCTCTTCGAGGACTCGAGTCCTTATAATCTATCTTGGTCAGAAACCTTGCCTTCTACTGCATTGAGCTTATGGCGCCACGAGTACAACGGAAGGGGTTTAGAATAGGGAGGCTATCTAAGAAAGCCAGCGAGGGCCACGAGTATTCTAGTACATCATCTGGACTTGGTCAGCCTGATCTCACAATTCATGGTGTTTCAATCCGGATTTCTTTGTCTTCAGCCAACTCACAACTGTCTCATCCTGGACCTATGGTGTGCCACCCTGGCCCTGACATCGGTTGTCAAGTAAGTGATGGTGCACATCTGATTCCAGGGGCTCTGCTGAGGAACTCCTCCTTCCCAGGGAAAAGTCAGCGATTGTCAGAGCTACACCATAGATCTTAGAGATACGGTAAGAATTCAGTAGCACCATAAGGAAACCCAATGGACCCCTTTGCTGGAACATGGCCTACTTGAAATCTCCTATCTGAGTAAGATAGCGGTACACGTGTACTCCTCCATTCATGTTGATGGCTATGGACCAACGTCTATACTTGCGTTACTTCAAAAACTCAGTAATATTACTAGTACACCAATAGTCGTACGGCACCAGCGTACCAGTCCGTCCGACTCCCACCACTGTGATACGGTTCCGTGCCGGTACCGGTATATCTTAAGCCTGAGTGAGGAACTGGAAACGTAATGGTTAACTGTGCGCGCAACCGCGCGACCTTCATCCTTCCAAGGATGACGTGTAATTTGGATGAATCGATCAAACCAATGGTGGAGGCACGATGGAAGCCACGCAAAGAGTGCAACTTTGATTTCGTTGGCTGTTGCTTCCACCAACACGTTCATAGTAAGCCTCGAATCTCCCGTCACATTACAACCATAGTCAACTGAACAGGGAAAGGACTGGCTGGTTGTTATCATTAGCAAGACCGATACATTGTTCCAAGCAGGTAGACAGATTCTTAACTCTGGAAAGCAATTGTCAAGTTCCACTCTTTCATACCCCTGCAAATAAGCACTGAAGAAGAAACTACAACCATGGGCAAAGGATCGAATGTTCAAAAGGCGCAAGCAGCGCGAGAGCGCAACCAGAAAAAGATGGGCAAATCGGACGAAGAACGAAAGGCTGCCCAAGCCAAATCCAAAGCCGATGCCGCCGCGTTTATGTGTTTGGCATGTCGTCAAACCTTCATGGCGAATGCCCGACCTCCCCTCCTCTACCAGCACGTTATTGCCAAGCATCCCGCCGGGACCGATCCAGCCTCGTGTTTTCCACAACTCAAAGATTTTGATCCCAACGATCCCAAGGGAGAGAAAAAGCCCCCCGCGGGAGGAGCTGGTGGACCCGTCAAACCCAAGAAAACCAACAAAAAGAAAGATGACAATTTGGATGCCTTGTTGGATGCTGGATTGGGTGGAAACAAGAAAAAGGGTGGCAAGAAATAATCACCCAGTGCTATGGAAGAAAAGGAGAGAAAAGAAGCAGATGGAGGCGTCGAATCTGCTCTTTTTGTATACTAAAACGGGTCCAGCATCGGGCCTTGCCTGACTTGAAACGATTTTCTGAATTGGAAGAGTCGAGTCAAGATACTATTGTACGCAGCAATCAATCCTGATGCTGAAGCAATGATTGAAAACAACAACAATACTACAGCATAGCTTAGTAATATTGCATTTCTATGTAGTTCGTGAGATGGTTGGCTAAGCAATCCTGCCCCGAAATGAAGAGGGGGCTGCAACGCAGAATCCCCATGTGGTCAGTTTTTTCTGCGAGTTTGTTTGTTAGCTTGCTTGCTTGCCGTAGCATTTTGTTTCCTCTGGGACTACGAGTAGTTGTCAGCGGTATTGTCCCCTTTGTGGCCATTGGCAGAATCAAATCCATCTATCAAGTGTTTTTGGGTACCGACCTAGAAGAGCACATAGCTAGCTATCATGATACTTCGTTTCATCTGTAAACCTTACTCTTGCTGGATCTTTCGGAGGTGTCCTCATCATCATTGTATCAATAGTTGCCGTTCCCAAGCGACCTGACATGGACTTGTGCGGAGATGTTTGCGGCAGTTCCAGCTTGGCACCCTGCTGGGCCAGTGCCTTCTTTTCGGCTTGACAGCTTGCCACCACGTGCTGTGGAGGATCGGGAAATTGAGACACAATCACATAGTACAAGACAAGGACAATGTGTCCCCAATAGTTATGACTTCTCCAGTTGTCCATCACGTTCTCAGCCGACCGCAAGAAAAAGGCCGTAGTTGCATAGCTTCCCAACGAGTGCAACACGACAATGTAGCTCACGCCATAGAAACTCCATTTCTTGGGAGAAAAGTACGGTGAGATCTTTCTCCGTCCGAGTCGTTCGCACTGAGACATGAGCCAAATGATGACTGCCAGCATGTAGTAGCCTAAAAGAGAATACGAATGAAGGAGTGAGTCTGTGCCATGCTGTGATTGGTCCGTGTCCTTGGCGCCAGTCGTAGAATAGCATACCAAGGATAGATTTCTACGTACCTGGAAAGAATCCATGCCAAATGGCAGACACCGCGTAGACAATTCCAAGCCGATTCTTATTGCGAATGTATACATATTTCAAAAGCCACTGGGACGTCTTGGTATTCCATGCCTTGGTACCAACCTTGATGCTCTCGCACGTTTCTAGTTGCAAAATATCTGCTCCTCTGGAAATGGTAAACCCCTGGCTGTTGCCATCTTCATCGTATCCATTGAACCCGGCATACCAGATGTTGTTGCTTCCCTCAGCAAAACACCACGTGAAGTATACCTTGAAACGATTGATAAAGTTTGTCAACCAGTTGTAAAAGTGCTTTTGTTTTGCAGTCAAGTTGTGGAACCAGGGTGTCAACAAACGACGATAATTGCAGGCTCGGTCAAAGATACTGGCAAAGGAGATCATCAAGAATGCTTTGAAGAGCGGGCCCAAAGTTGGGAGTATATTGCTGGGTATCTGTTTCCCGCGCAGCACTCTGGTAGTTGTGCCGTCGTTCTTATTGACTTTGGTGATATAGAGGTTGCTTCCATCACACGCACTGCGATAATACGAGTATTCATAAGAAGGACCAACCAGAACATTTGAAAAGCAAAAGGTGTATCCGAGGAACTCCAGCAGGGAGGGGCATTCGCTAAGAGCGTATTGTGCACAGCTTTGAGCTGCTTTCAAGGCTTCTTCTGCTTCTTGGTCGGCTTTGCTCTTGGTTGGATCATTTTCTTGTTTCCTGCCAGTATCACAATCCATCTTTTCTTTTTTCTTTGTTGAGATTAGATACCCATCATGCAGGTTGTAAGCCAACATGTATATCTTTTGTGTCAGAATCATGTGACTTGCAGTGAAATAAATGTCCAATCCCAAGACATTGGTGACAGTGTATTGATGCTGGAAGTGAGCCATGCCTAGGTAAAACATGACAAAGGTCGGAACAACTTGTTGCACCTTATCTCTGGGGCAGAGTCTCAACATGGCGTAGGAGATCAAACAGGTGACGGGAGTGTGGATCCAATGAATACCCCAACATGACTGCAGCAAGAAAGAACCAACCACAAAGGAATACGCGTGTCGAATCCTTCCGTAGGGTAGCAAGTGCATAATCAACCCAAATGGATAGCAAGCCAACATCATGGTCAAGAAAACTTGCGCTCTGCTGCTGACAATGTACCTCTCCAAGAAGTACTCTGGTCCTATCAAAACTGTCCATTCCACAATTGGTTCCAATCGTTCAAACGCCCCAAAGAAACGATGGAGAGCAAAGGAGAATGCCTTTGGCAAGGACTGGTCCATGGTGATGTTGATACGGTAGCAGAGAAATACGGATCGATCGAGATACTATTGAGATAACGAGATATTATCGAGTATCGAGATGGGTTGGTTCACCTGATCAATAATTGAAGTTCGTTGCTCGTTTTCTGTGAGAAGGTTGGTGCGATGTTGAGAGAAGTGGGACGTCGACGGGATCGGCCGTTTCAAGCAAGGGGATTGTCAGTTCCTCACTTTAATTGGTCACGAATTCAGACCCGCTTGATATTTTTTCCAGACTTCCAGGAAACTCATTAGAATGGTAGACCAAGCCGGTGCTCTTCCTGGATGATGGTCTTGGCTCAGAAACCAAGTGGCACTCAGCTTCCACTCAACTTCAACGGAATTTTAAAAATAGAACCCGTGTCATTTTTCTTGTGTGTGTAAATTCCATCATTCCATGAATCGAGATTCCCTTTTCACATATCCAAAACCCCGTCAAATCAGAAACCAATGCTCTACCAAAGTAGATGATAAAGCACAGGTGGTTTGTCAACATTCCAGAAAATCCCTACCACAGCCTGTAGCCGTAGTAGAATAGACAAAAAATACCAAGCCAGTTTAATGCCATCACTGGCCTAAAGCGGAGGCAAAGGCGATGTCTGCTACCACGGAAAAAACGAAACACTCTTGCTTATACCCCGGCTGCGAACATGTTTGCCAAACAAGCCAGAGATGCATATCTGATTTTTATGGTAGCTGCCCAAATGCACATTGCATTTCTGGCCATGGCCATGACCATGACCATGGCCGGTCAATTTCAAGTAGGAGCATATCAGCTTTGGCGGATGCAATCGTATCTTCTTGCCGCAGCTTCTCACTGCTTGACTTGCCATTCAAATGCTGAGGCTTGATTCGGAGCTCATGGATATCCCCCCAGAAGACGAAGAAGATGCGGGATATCATAAGCCTCTTGTTGGTATAACACTTGACTCATTTGACTTTTTCAAGGGAAGCCGAAAACCGAAGCGCTTCCCCTCTGGATCTGTCAATACAAGAACAACAACACTAATAGCAACAAACACAACCAATCGGTCATACCTCTACCATTACACTACCTATTAGCACCATTAGAAGCATTGAAACGAAGCGAAAGGACCTCAGGAAGCCTGTTTTCTGTTATCTTGTTGAAGAGTACTGTTTTACTATAGGATTCAACTCAACGTCATCACGGAAAACATACACCCCTTTTTCCTCTCTTTATCTCTCATTCAAGCCGAAAAGGATCGATACCTCCTATCCCCTATCAAGCGCACCTCCTCTATCAAGCGACTATCAACGCGGCGTTCTCCGGTCCAGATTAGAAAGCCATCCCAATTGAAATCCTACGAGATCGGGCGGGTTTTCTATTCTCGACCGCCGACGGCCAAGTTGGAAGAATTTGAACACAAGAAGAAGTCTCCGGCCTTCCACAGCACAGTACAGAAAACAATTCCCATACGTATTTGTTGCTTTCTGAACTAAGCTCCTGACGGCCGAAGAAATCCCATTGTCGGCCGATCCTCTTCTTCGAACGATCGCTCCTCCTCTTCCACCAACACCAACAGGCTCGGTTAACCTTACCCCTAAGGCGACTGACGTGGTTTCGAATCGAATCCTCTGAATCGACTCGCGAATCGAATCGGTTTTCGAATCGAATCGAATCCAAGACTCGCTCCTCCGTGAATCGATCTTCCCACGAACGCACCTCCCCTCCGATACGTACCTCTTCCTCCGTACGAAGCCTACTGTTATCAAGAAGGACTTCACGAGATACCTGCAGTGACCACCCAGAAGAGAATTACACCTGTATTCTTACTTTCTCATCGGCCACTAGTGGTTTCTCCCGACGTCCTTGTTGGAACTGATCCTACTGATCCAACCAGTCCTATCCCTATACAGACTGATTGACTGATCGACACCTGCTACTGTTACCACCCCTACATTGATATCTAACTCCTCTCCAAGAGGAACAAACAACAACAGAGTTCCTGTAAGGACTTGAGTTCTTGTATCCCCAGGCCTGGCTGAATTTGCTAGTTTCACAGCCCCTCCCTGGGATACCCAGCTCCTCTCCAAAGGATCTCACCCCCACAAGAACAACTACAAAAGCTGCCCCTCTAGCGTGTTTGGCTAGATTGTGCAACACCTCCATTGAAACAGCCACCTCTCTGCTACTGCACCTGACTCTCCTACTGAGTGTGGTGCTCCAAAGGATTGAGCCCCAGACAGAACTGCAGCGTGGTGTGGCATAGATATTAATACATAACTGACTCTATCTCTCTCTCATTGATTGTTGAGTGACTCTCCAGTGACTTTCCACAGTTCCACCTGAATCGAGTACCCTCTCCACATCCCGTTCCCATCGCTTCTAACACCTCTAAAACGAACCTAGAGCACTTGGTATGGTGCTCAAAGGTTGTCTGGATCATGCTGGAGCCCATCGGCGAGAGGAGGTTGTGTCCATTGTCCATTGCCACCACCTCCGGTCGGCGGCAGCCATTTCGTTCTTGTTGACGACCGACACTTCGTTGTTGTTGACGTTGTTGTTGACGACCAAACAATACCAGCGAGTTTGGCGACGGCAAGAGAAGCACCCATGAAGGCACAACCATGAACCATGAAGGCAACTGAAGCGGAGCGAGCTGCGGAACGTCGAACGTCGAACGAGTTTTCGAGGAAAGACATCAAGAATCTACGAACGAACGAAGCTCGAACGAAGCTACCGCTACATGCTACATGTACCATGCACCGCGGCATCAACAACAGGCTGTCGCTACCGCTACTACAACAAGAAGAGTATCGGCAACAGTCTCGCTACACAGGATCTCGAGTTGCATCGATCAGCAGCGCTGCTTCCGCAAGACAACCGAATTTGCGACAACCTGCTACCGCGGCGACAGCGACAGTCGCTACTAGCTATTACTACTGCTACGACAGCGGCATTATCCGTCGGCAAAGCAGCGAAAACGCAGAATAGTAACAATCAACCAACGAAGCGATCGATGGATTGACGCTACCGCTGCCACTGTAACAGCCGCTGAAACAACAACGTCGGCTACAGCTGTACTACGAAGCCATCGCTCGCAACTCGCAAGCAACAGACCGTCGGCAACAGAAGAAGAAGATCTGCCAACATGAACGCAAGGCTTTATTTTGCCACCAATTCGATTTTAGCCTTCGTCGAGGGTATTACGGTCTACGGACTACGGATGCCACCAAACCGGTACAGCGGACGCATACGGATGATACCAACTACCAACGTTGAGTGATGGTGGAAGTGCGTTCTGGTTGTCAAACCGTACTGTATGCATTGGTCTATGCATAGGTGTCGTCTAGCATGCCAGTGCATCGTCCAGGTTGAACTAAATGCCTCCAACAACAACAAAAACATACCCGGACCATGGCGCTCCCAGCGACGGCAACTCGGATTTTCATGTGAACCAACATTGTGGGTGTCCACCATACATGTAATAGAACTGATATATAGTCTCCAATGGGTTACCCCTACCTGTTTTAATGGCTTGGTTTGGGGACTTTCCACCAATTCTAGAGCAAAATCTAAGGGTCCACTCATGGATCTCGTGTTAATACATAACTGACTCTATCTCTCTCTCATTGATTGTTGAGTGACTCTCCAGTGACTTTCCACAGTTCCACCTGAATCGAGTACCCTCCCCACATCTTGGCTTGACTCTGTTGCATTTGCATCCCTACAACAGATTGAGTACCAGCCTTTGAGACAACACAGTGTCATCCAGTAACACAGCCCCATCAACCAACAACACCCCTTGATCCCCCACCACTGCCTCTACTGGCTATAGCGTGACTTCTCCAGTTTTCCCTGAAAGAATCCCTAACAGCCTTTGGCTCTGATACCATCTTCTCCTGCAGGTAGTGGTATACCTGCACCAGACTTGGCCACAGCCTTTGATCCAGTGGCAACAACAACCCAACAACTTGATATAAACCTTGATTACCAGTGCCTCAGTGCATTGCCCCTTGAATACACCCTTCTACATCAATCATCTCGCCACCTCACAAGCAACCTCCATTGCTTGCGTTGAAGCAACGACACTACAGTCAACACTCCAGGATACACACCTCTCCCACCAACCCACCTACCACCCACCATGACTTCCCCATGTCTACCCACTACTTCACTCAAACCCAAGGTCCTCCCAGACATTCCCCCACTCCCACACTTCACCCAACCAACCACATCCACCATCCTCCGCAGATCCGCCAGACTTCACAACACCACTCCCCAGATGATCAGCCAACAGCTCCTAGAGCATGCAGCCATCTTGAGGATCACACCCTTCCGAAATCACACCCTACCCTATCAGGGAGGATGCCTTTGTTCTTCACCCTTGAACACAGGCACGCCTTATCCTACACACCACACCATCACCATGCTACTCCCAACTTCTCAACAACACTCCAACACCAACAGTTCTCCCCTCTCTGCCCCTGCACCAGCCCACTCCATGTGCCCCCTTATCCTCCTTCTATTGATCAACAACCCCTCGAACAGCCCACAACACTCCAGCAGCCACTGTGTCTCCCTCTTGGGAACCACACACGTGCCAGTGTGTCATTGACCCCATCTTCTGCCTGCTCTGTTGGCCTCTATTAACAATTTTTGTGCATTGGATGGCTTACACCCTGCTCTGGTCCAGCCTGAGGATACACCCCTACGGGCTCTGCTCGGCATCTCTGCCTTCGCATGCCAAGGCCCTGCCACAGCTTGGGACCTGATCACCCAGACACACTTACTGCCGAGCACTCTTTGGTCTCGCAATCTAACTGTCCTCACGGTCCCTATGGTGATAATGGTTTCAATACAACATAAAATCCTGTGTAAACCCCTGTAACCCAGGTTTTTGCGCTGCAGGTTCCCTATCAATGTGCTCACCCCCCTACCCAGGGCATCTGTCTACTTTGTGCTGGCTCCACGTTGGGCCAATGATGAGGTCTGTTGATTTGGGCAAATAAGTAGATGAGCGACTCAGCTAGTGGGGGCTTCCCACCAATTGCCCGCTTCACAAAACCACTCCGTGGCCATAGTTTGTTAAACTAACGTAGTATTTTACACCTTGAAGGATTAATCTAAATCCGTTCCTGACCATCGTCTTCCGAACTTACGGTAGTATAGTTGGCTAGCTACCATGCTGCCGTAATGG